TTCGCTGGGAAATGGGCTTGCACAAACCTGGAAATGAAAAGGCAGCAGTGCAGGAAATGAAAGCACAGCCCATATTATTAGCTGTGATGGTTTGCGTTCAAGACGAGCTTGTCAGAAAATTGTTCCCTCTGCAAAGGGTGCCTCTGGGCCTGCGGCAAGGAAGGGCAGGTATAAAAGGCAGCCCCAGTCCTGCTCTCTCATCCACTTCTCTTGCCTCCTTCCTCCTTGGCAACCAGGTGAGTTCCTTCTCCTCCTCTTCCAAAGCAAGACCTCCGCTTGATAGTCACCCCAGCTGATATTGCTCTGTGCTTTCGTGGGGTTTGGATCTTCTTGTTGTGACAGAGGCAAGTGGGGAGACATTGTGCTTAGAGAGTGGGCTGAGGGGTCTCTTGGTTTACGAGTGAGAGAGAACGTCCCTGTGCCAGGCTGCTCTTCATAGAGCGATAAAGACGCCCTGTGCTTCCTCCTGCTTCTCCCCCAGGTGCACCTCCACCCTCGAGACATGTCCTGCTCCGACCAGTGCCTGCCATGCCGTCCCTGCGGCCCGACCCCGCTGGCCAACAGCTGCAATGAGCCCTGTGTCAGGCAGTGCCAGAGCTCCACTCGCCATCCAGCCCTCCCCCGTGGTGGTGACCCTGCCCGGCCCCATCCTCAGCTCCTTCCCACAGAACACCGTTGTGGGCTCCTCCACCTCCGCCGCCGTTGGCAGCATCCTCAGCTGTGACGGAGTCCCCATCAACTCGGGGGGCTTTGACCTCTCCTGCATCACCAGCCGCTACTGCGGCAGAAGGTGCCCCCCCTCTAAAGCTGCTGGCAGTGACCCACGGACACCCGTGGAACTGAGAACATGCTGCTGGGCACAGGATCACGAATTTGGATGTTGTTTTCAGGATAGCTGAATGGCTTTGCCTTTCTTTCCATTTCTCTTTTTGCTGCCTGTCCCCTTGCCTACAGAGTGTCCCCAGTGCCAGCCTGGTGGGGACCATCTGTCTCCTCTCCGGCCTCTGTGGCGCAGGCAGACAGACAGACATCAGGCAGGAACTTCTCTGTGGGCAAGCACTGAAGACCCTCAGCTGCCCCCACGGCTCCCTGCACTGCTGTGCTCCACTTGGAGTGACTTTGTTTCCCTCTTTTGACTCATTAAAGTTCTGCTGCATCCAAGCCTGGCCTCCATGTGGTCCTTCCCTCCGTGGACACTGCCCGGCTGCCAGAGGGGAAGGCTGTTGCTCTGGGGTGGAAGGGGAGAGGACCCTGGGAGCCTTGCCTTGTTGTGCCATTGTTCACAAATGCCCAGGAAGGCCGGAGGCCCTGAGGGGTCAGCAGCCCATGAGCTCCTGAGGAAGGGCGTTCCTCTTGCGGTGGTTGGAGGTGCACTGGCTTGGCAGGGGTTGGACTTTGGCTCCAAAAATTCTGTGGTTTGCACAATAGCAAGGATGGTAAAGAAGGGAACAGCCTTGGGATGGCCCATAGCTGATTCTCCACCTTCCTCTCCCCTCCACCAGCCAATGTAGGGGCTGTGGCCTGTGTGCATGGACGGGGCTGTCAGGACAAGTCACCCATGCTGCTGAATGCATAGGGACTGGAAATTGGAGCTACGCCTGTGGGAGCTGAGGGCAGTCAGCACAGGAATGGGAGGAAAGGCCTGCATCCCGGGGAAGGGACTGTAGTTACAGAAAGTTGGAGTCCCATGCTGGAGCATCTAAGAAACACTCTGGCCTCTGTGAGGGACTGTACATCGAAGAAAGTTTGTGGAGGACTGTCTCCTGTGAGGGGCAGCCACGCTGGAGCAGGGGGAAGAAATTGCAGAAGTTCCCTCCACTTCAGATGGAAGAAGCAGGATCACTAACTGTAACCCCATTCCCTGTCCCTGTGCCACTGGGGCAGGAGGTAGAGATATCAGGAGCTGATCTAAGCCCGTGAAGAAGAGAGCGGTGGGAAGGTGTTTTGAAAATGTGGTAATGCTTCTCACTGTCCTACTCTGTCTTTTAATTGCTTTGTTTTTTTTGTAGCTGTGAAAAAATTATGTTCTTTTTTTCTTCCCCTAAAGAGTCTGTCTTGACTGTGACCGTAATGGGTGATTTGTCCCTCCCTGTCCTATCTCAAATCCCAATCCGTAGCTTATTTTCTCCTTCTCAATTCTTGGGGGAAGGGAGGGAGTTCACTTTCCCTCTGAGCTCAAACCACGACACGTGCTTTGCCTACCCAATTAAAGAGGTCTTGGAAAAGTTTGAAAAGGGCACAGGATTCATGCAGGACTTATGCTTCAAAGCAGGAGAATTGTTGCCAGAGTTGATGGGATTTAGTGGTGATTTCAATCATGCTGTGGCTCTGCTGTGGCGGAAGGCAGGCACTGAGCTGTCTCAGCCTGTGCTTCTCATTTCCCTGCTGTTGGCTGTTTCTATGGCCCCGTGCCTTCACCTCCACGGGAGCCCCCTCAGAGGTTCAGTGGCTGTTCTTTCATCGTTCTTTTGCCCCTGCTCAACCCCTTGATTTACACAGTAAGAAAGAAGGAGGCAAAAGCTGCTCTGAGCAGGTTCGGGAGCTGGGATTTGTTCCCATGAAGGAAACAACGGACAGGGTGGCGTGACCCTCACCTAAAGACCACTGTTCACTGGGAGTTGGGGATCCATGTAAGAGATAAGCTGAGGAGGCCCTGGGCTCTGCCGTGCTGTGCTCCATGCAGAGCTTGGCCTTCAGGCCGGTGTTTGTGCTGCACAGCCCCCTTGGCCACAGGACAAGCTCGGAAGATGAAGAACTCCTGTAACCGAGGAGCCTGTCGGCAGCTCCTGCTCAGTGCCACTGACTCCACTGCCTGTTCCGTCCGTAGCTGCCGGCTGTTTGCAAAAGGTTCATCCTGATCCCGACCAGTGCACCCACCAGCCCCTGCTTGGGGCCAGGTACCTCCTTTTATCCTTCTGCCTCTCTATTGCCTCCCCTTGCAGAGGGGAGCAGAGGCTGTGGCAGGTGCCCCCGCCCGATGACAATGTGGCTCCCTGGCTGTTGAACTTCCCCTGTGCCCTTGTTCTCAGGGCTTTACGGCAGTTGGGCTCCTCGGCCAAGAGGGGCTGGGATTGACCACAGGTCAGATCGGGCTCGGCTAGAAATGGAGTCCCCTGGGGGAGCCTTTTAGCTGGTGGGACCAGAGCAGCGTCCTGCAGGTAAGGCCTCTCGCCTTGGGCTGGGACTGGGCCCAAGGAAACTCCTTGGCATTCCTGTGGGTTGGGACGCTGCCCTAAGGTGTTCCTTGATGTGGAGAGTCCTTTTCTTTTATTAGGTGAGTGACTGAGAGTTTTGGGTTGCCTTAAACCCTGGGAGATTGTGTGGCGATGGTTTGTTTGACTCTCACGGCCATTTGAACCTGCTGTTTGTATGTTTGGGGAGTGCTGATTAATTGTGCATAAAAACAAACTTTATTTTTTATTCTTTACTTGAGAGTTTCTGCAACAATTGGCATAGTCGGCAGGAGGTCGATAGAGGAGTTATTGTATTGTTGTGTCTTCTGTCTCCCAAATGTATAACAGGGAAGGAGAAGAGGTTTAGTTTCTGGGTGTTTGTGAGAAAGTGAGAACAGAGCCGTGGTAGTTTTTGAGATGACGGAAGTAAAGGGCATATGTGCGCCACCTTAGGTAACTGTTGGATTCAGGCAGGAGATTATTTTGTAGTGGTGAAGAAAGAGAACTTTGGGAAAGAACTGGCAATTGATTGCTTGAGGGTAGAATTGTTTCCAAGAAAGAGAGAGGCGGCGGTACGGAATATCGCTGTGCCGCGCCGGTGGACCCCAGCCACCACAGACCTCTTATTAGAGGGTCCCGCATGTTTTAAAGGCACCTGTGCAGTCCCTGAGGGAAAGGGTGCAAAGAGCTGTTGGTCTGACCAGCCAAGCCCTCCGACCCCCGTGTATGTGTACTAATGTGGGCAGAAATGCTCTGTGATGGGGTTTTGGGGTCTGTGAGACGGGATGGACTGAGCCGGGTGCTGGCGTGGTCAGAAATGGGAAGTTTCAGAAATGTAGTGGGAAAGTCCACCCCGAGCAGCCTCCTGGTAGGGGACCTGACCTGCCCGGGATAGGTTCCAGACCATCTTATGATTTGGGAAGGAATGGTCCTTGGCAGGAGGGTTTGGCATTGGGGGCACCCCAGCAATGTACCTGGGCAATCCAGAGATAACATTCAGAAACTGGTGGAATTGCTGGAGGGGAAATTGGAGGACAAAGGGAAATGGCAGGAATCCTGCTCCCCTCCCTGGGGAAGGGAACTGTAACCCTTTGTGACATGAGGAGGGGAACTGAGAGAGTTAAAAACTAGAAGCTGCTGTTTGGGGTTTGGGCCGCCAGTCTGCATGGTGAATTTTATTGATGGTTTGTTGGTAAGGAGCTTTATAGACATATTCTTGTGGGTCCCAGACAGATAAGTTTCTAATTTTGAATTGTTTCAGGGCCGAAATAGTGTTTTAAATAGTCAATAAACTACTGAGTTAAGACAGAAATTATCAAGAAAGTTTATAAATATAAAAGGTGCGATGGGGTTATGGAAAAAATATCCCATAGTGCAAGCGTAGTTTGGTTATCAGGGTGTAAGAAACTATGAACTAAGGGTATTGTTTATTGAAATTTATGTTAAGCTCAATGTAAAGATTAGGCGGCAAAAGACAAAAAAACTGCTTATGCAAATAGCTGCCAGACACCGCTTGTGTGAGACAAGATAACCTGTGAGACAAGATAACCTGTGAGACAAGATGACTGCGTGAGATAAGATAACCGCAATTGCTTACACAAACCAGATACTTGTGCAAGCAGAAGGGGTACTGATCAAAGACAACCACGGATGTAAAAAATGTATAAAAAGGAACTGTTTGAACTGATCAGGACGGCAGTTGGCGGAGCGCAGACTCCCCTGCCGTCCAGCGCTGTCTTTGCTCATATTCTACTTGCTATAATTAATAAAATTATAATTGGATTATGATCCATTGTGGTCTCAATTTATAACAAGGGGAAAAGGAGGATGAGAGCTGTGGAGGTGGAAGACCTTATAAGGGAATATATTGGGGTTTGTGTTATTAGGTAAACAGCAGTGTTTACTGGATGGCGGTGGGTGGAGATTTGAAGGTGCTGGGACAAGGGTGTCTTATGCAAGTTTTTTCAGGTTGTTCTTTTATTATTATAATTTTAAGATAAGCCGTGTTTCTCGATATTCATAGCTAACAATTGTTAAATGGGGTATTTAGTGGTAATTAGTGATCTTAGAAAAGAGATCCTAAATTGCATCTATTACATTTATAATTTTCTAGTTTGGCCGGACCCTAAGATGGATGGTTGGTGGTAGCTAACTGTTGATTACTGGAGATTGAATAGCAATATCCCCCTTTAACAGCTACTGTCCTGAATAGAGCATCAATAATACCAGCAATACAGGCAGCTGATAAAGTGTGGGTGCCTGCTTTTGAAGTTAAAAATATATGGGGGGGGGCGGTTTATGATTCCCTTAAAAGATGAGGATGAGCCTCAGTTTGCCTTTACTTGTTAAAGGAAGTAAAATAATCTAACTCAGCCTTGCAGACACATTCCCTCCCTCCCCTGGGTTCTTGCACAGCCAAGGAAGCCCTGCACCGGGTGTCTTGCACAGCACAGAGGTACAAGGCACTGTCAGAGACCTCAACTTCCTCCAGCTTCAGGACACTGGATTTCCCTGCGGTGTTCAGCAACGTGGTGAAACGGCCGCTCTGCTTGGAGCCAGCTGCTGCCTCCGTGGGGAGACTTTGGGCATCATTGGACTAGGCCGAGTTGGACAGGCAGTGGCTGTGCGAGCCAAGTCCTTTGGCTTCAACGTGATTTTCTATGATCCCTATCTGCCGGATGGAGTGGAGCGATCCTTGGGTTTACAACGAGTAGGAACCCTGCAGGATCTACTAATGCACAGCGATTGCATCACATTGCACCGCAGCCTGAACGAACATAACCATCACCTCATCAATGACTTCACTATTAAACAGATGCGCCAGGGCTGCTTCTTAGTGAACACAGCCCGCGGAGGGCTGGTAGATGAGAAAGCCTCAGCACAAGCCTTGAAAGAGGGGAGAATCAGAGGAACAGCATTGGCCGTACATGAGTCTGAGCCTTTCAGCTTTGCTCAGGGGCCCTTAAAAGATGCACCCAATGGGATCTGTACCCCTCACACCGCCTGGTACAGTGAGCAGGCTTCCATTGAATCCAGAGCAGGTGCAGCTAAAGAGATCCGCAGAGCTATTACAGGTCACATACCTGATGCTTTGAGGAACTGTGTTAATAAGGAGTACCTGCTGTTAGCAGCTCAGTGGTCCAGTATTGATCCTGCAACTGTCCACCCAGAACTCAGTGGAGCTGCAGCTTACAGGTTTCCTCCAGGAGTAGTGGGAGTAGCCACGCCTGGGCTACCAGAACCGCCAGTAGTGGAAGGGATCGTAGCTCATGGGATCCCTCCTGTTTCTCACCATGCACCGCGTACCCCTTCCCCAGGAGACACGAGCAAACTGGATGCAGACAGAGAGATTCCTGCTGACCAATAGCAGCATCTTTCTCTCCTCTGGCAGCAGAAAAAAGCAGGGGGGTATCTCCTCCTAGGACCTTCTTTAACACCCGACAGAGACTGTTTCCTGTTCATACAGGACGGGAGAATGCATTTCATTACCGGCAAACTTCAGCTCTTGCCTTTATTTTGTAACCCTTTTGTTTTAATCTCTCAGTGAATCTTTCTCCTTCTCTGAGGCAGGGCAGCAGTGACCTTGCCTCCCCTCAGAAATACTTGGTTTAACAAATGAGTTTTTCAGTATATCTGCCTCGGTTGTCTGTGAAAGGGAACTGTCCTTGTGCACTTGAGAATAGAAGTGGAGCTGCCTGATCAGGGATGGCCCTCAGTGTTCCTAACACTGGCCTTCAGTGCACACTTTTCAGTTGTGACTTGCAGCTTAAGTTTCATTTGTCTGAATGTCTCTAAGTAGCCATGGGGAATATTAGAAAAGCATTAGTGAATTGGAGAAGTTGTGACTAATGTCTTTATTATGCCCTTGGTGGAATGCAGCCTAGGCTGAGCTCTGTATATTACTTCGCTTGTTTTAATTCAGGTTTCCTGTGAGAACAGACGCAGCACAGGCATTGCTAGTTCTTGACCCTACAGAGTTTTGTCTGTGCGATACTAGACCGGGACTAGACCTGAAGTTGAAAGTAAGTCTCAAAGCCAGCCGTGTAAATAATTTGGAAGGGTTAAAATGTCGTCAAATGTGTTCTGGTGGCCACCGTGTTTGTGAGGCTTCAGAATAGTTCACCATGGAGTCCCTTCGTAACTCGGAGAGGCAAGAGAATGCAGAAATAGGAAAAACTTGCACTGGGAGACAGCAGGTAGCAATAACTTGCAGCTGCAGTTGCTGGTTCCTCACACACTTGTACCTCACAGTCTAGTGGTGGTGTTTATCCACAAGGATATGTTAGAATTCTAAGGTTTGTGCTACCTTATTTTGGGGGTTTTTTGCATAACTGCATCAACTAGAAGTAACGTATCACTTGTCTCTGTGCTGATGGAGAAGGCAGCTTTTAACTGTTGACCAAATTTCTCTACTTTTGCTCTGTTAGCATACTGTATCGCCAGTAGTGGGCAGGGCAAGACAGGTTTTTTACATGAGTAAGTTTTGTAATACTAGAGGAGAAAGAACACTCTTAGCTTGTCACCTGAAGCCAAGGATGGATTGTTGCTCATGTCTATCCCCATTTCCCAAGTGGTTTATTATGAATCACTTCTTTGAGGGGTATGGAGTCTTCAGGAAAACAGGTTGCACAGGAGATGTTTCCTTAATTCAAAATCTTCCTTTAGTTTCATCTTGTTGCACTTTAGTTATCGCCTCTCCATGTACAAGATGTAACAATTCCTGATTGATTTGTTCATGCTGTGTGAGTATACTGCAGTAGGAGCTATATGAGAAGCCTACCCTATGTGTGGGTTTGCCTGCTTCCCATGATCCTTCCCTCTGTTGTGTGTCTGTGACTAGAAGCTGAACAGCTGGGAACAGACTGGAAATACACCTTGAGGTGTGGACAAATGTCGCTGTTTAGGCGTTTTACAGTTTGGGAAGCTGAGGAAAGCTTTCAGAATCACTTAAGTTTTCAGATTTTTTTCCTGGTTTTAAATTTTTCTCCAATACTGCCTTCATATAATGGCTTACTACTGAAAGAGTGAAGTGATTAATTCCGTTCTCTGCTGCGTGCCCCTCACCCCCCCCTCCCCCAGCACTTCAAGAAGAAAAAAGGCAAGAAGTAAACTTCAGGTGTTTTCTTACAGATTTTACACTTTAACTGTTTAGCATTAGTGAGAAGATACTAGTTCTCTAGTGCTGAGTGTCTTTTTTGATAAGGTATTTGTCTCGGTGAAGGTTCTTGGCTTCTGTGTTTTCATGGATGATGCTGATTCTACTTAAAGTTCATATACCTCCTTTGCTGCTCAGGTTTAGCAGATCAGACTGGGACTGGTCGTAGGCACAAGTTATAGGAGAACTTTTTCTGAACAAGAGCCTAGAGCTCAGAACACGTTGATTGCAGCTGTACCTAAAATAACCAGCAGCACTTTTCTAAATTCTCTAATCTCTAGGAAATAGGAATTTTACAAGATACTAGCTCAGAAAGCTGTTCTTCTGACAGGAAGATGGGGGAAAAGATTTTTTTCCAGCAACTGAGAGCTCATCTTCTGTCTATTGCCACATTAGGGAAGCAGTCTGTCAATAACTACTCTTTCCTTATTTGCTGCTGAGAATTCCTGCCCTGCTTAGAGGTTCGGGTCTGAGATTATTCTGTGGTAAGGGGCTCCTAGTTATGAGTCCTGTGAATACAGAGGATCAGAGTACATTGACCTTGTCTCTTCTAGAGCACAATGCCGATAGATTTATTTTTTAAGAGGCAGCAATTTTTTTTCTTCTTACCTGTAAGCATCTCTATAGACCAGTCAAATAACTGAGCAGAGGAGGAGTGGAAAGCTCTCATCTGGGGGACACTTTGCTTGCATCAAGCTGCGTCCCGTCTCTCAATCGCGGCATGGTAGTTTTGGGGATGGTGGAAGTAAAGGGCATATGTGCGCCACCTTAGGTGTTGGATTCAGGCAGGAGATTATTTTGTAGTGGTGAAGAAAGAGAACTTTGGGAAAGAACTGGCAATTGATTGCTTGAGGGTAGAATTGTTCCAGAAAGAGAGAGGCGGCGGTACGGAATATCGCTTGCCGCGCCGGTGGACCCCAGCCACCACAGACCTCTTATTAGAGGGTCCCGCATGTTTTAAAGGCACCTGTGCAGTCCCTGAGGGAAAGGGTGCAAAGAGCTGTTGGTCTGACCAGCCAAGCCCTCCGACCCCCGTGTATGTGTACTAATGTGGGCAGAAATGCTCTGTGATGGGGTTTTGGGGTCTGTGAGACGGGATGGACTGAGCCGGGTGCTGGCGTGGTCAGAAATGGGAAGTTTCAGAAATGTAGTGGGAAAGTCCACCCCGAGCAGCCTCCTGGTAGGGGGCCTGACCTGCCCGGGATAGGTCCAGCCCATCTTATGATTTGGGAAGGAATGGTCCTTGGCAGGAGGGTTGGCATTGGGGGCACCCCAGCAATGTTACCTGGGCAATCCAGAGATAACATTCAGAAACTGGTGGAATTGCTGGAGGGGAAATTGGAGGACAAAGGGAAATGGCAGGAATCCTGCTCCCTCCCTGGGGAAGGGAACTGTAACCCTTTTGTGACATGAGGAGGGGAACTAAGAGAGTTAAAAACTAGAAGCTGCTGTTTGGGGTTTGGGCCGCCCACTTCGCATAGTGAGTTTTTATTGATGGTTTGTTGGTAAGGAGCTTTATAGACATATTCTTGTGGGTCCCAGACAGATAAGTTTCTAATTTTGAATTGTTTCAGGGGCCGAAATTAGTGTTTTAAATAGTCAATAAACTACTGAGTTAAGATTGAGATTATCAAGGAAGTTTATAAATATACTAGGTGCGATGGGGTTATGGAAAAATATCCCATAGTGCAAGCGTAGGTTTGGTTATCAGGGGAAAAGGAGGATGAGAGCTGTGGAGGTGGCATTAAGACCTTATAAGGGAAATATATTGGGGTTTGTGTTATTAGGGAAACAGCGGTGTTTACAGGATGGTGGTGGGTGGAGTTTTGAAGGTGCTGGACAAGGGTGTGTTATGCAAGTTTTTTTCAGGTTGTTCTTTTATTATTATAATTTAAGATAAGACGTGTTTCTCAATATTCATAGCTAACAATTGTTAAATGGGGTATTTAGTGGTAATTAGTGATCTTGAGAAAAGAGATCCTAAATTGCATCTATTACATTTATAATTTTCTAGTTTGGGGACCGTAAGATGGATGGTTGGTGGTAGCTAACTGTTGATTACTGGAGATTGAAAAGCAATATCCCCCCTTTAACAGCTACTGTCCTGAATAGAGCATCAATAATAACAGCAATACAGGCAGCTGCTAATGTGTGGGTGCCTGCTTTTGAAGTTAAAAATATAGGGGGGGGGGGGTTATGATTCCCTTAAAAGATGAGGATGAGCCTCAGTTTGCCTTCACTTGTTAAAGGACGTAAATAATCTAACTCAGCCTTGCAGACACATCCCCTCCCTCCCCTGGGTTCTTGCACAGCCAAGGAAGCTCCCTGCACCGGAGTGTCTTGCACAGCACAGAGGTACAAGGCACTGTCAGAGACCTCAACTTCCTCCAGCTTCAGGACACTGGATTTCCCTGCGGTGTTCAGCAACGTGGTGAAACGGCCGCTCTGCTTGGAGCCAGCTGCTGCTGGTAGGAGACCAGCTGGGGGCCTTGGCCTTTCCTCTGCTGGTACCAGAGCAGGGCATAAAGTAGAGACCTGGTATGTGCAGGTGGTTTGGAAGGTGTCTCTCTGCTTCAGCGTGACTTGCCCTTCTTGCTGGGTGACGGTGGTCTGCCCCACGGTGCCTGGAAGAAATCAAAGGTCAGTGACTGTGCAGGGAAAGTCTCCCAAATGCAAAACGAGAGGGGATGCAAAGTGTCAGATGAGAAGGCTCCTCGTGGCCTTCTCTCCAGCCAGAGCCCCGTGGGTGGGAACAGCAAACTGTTGAGGGTCTTTGGGCAGGAGGTCTGAGACCTCAGCTCAGCGTGGATTCCACAGCACAATAATGCCCATTACTTCCCACAGGGATACCCCCAGAGAGAGCTGTGCTTTCACCCCGGTCTTCCATCCTGACTCTCCTGCTCCGCAGTCTCCAGGGAAGAGCCTGTAGTGCCTGGCCCTCCTGTGCTGGGTCCAAAACACCCCCAGCAGGGTGAGGCACCAGGGAACTCCTGCAAGATGTTGCATCCTCTTCCCCATTGCCTGTCCTCTCAAAAGGCTCCGTGGTCCAGGAAGGGAAAAGGAAGCCCTGGCAGCGCAGACACGCAGGAGGAATGGATAGCCAGGGCATGCTGCCTGGCATGTGCCAGCCAGGAGAGAGACTGGGACATCCTGAGAACAGGAGTGGGATGAGGGAGCTTTCATGTCCCTGCATCAGCTTTCAAAAGTCCTGCGCCCTTGGGCTGCAAAGGCAGACAATGTGTAGTGCAGAGAGAGGAGAGCTTCTGCAGTGATCCGTCTGTGAAACACTGAGCCCAGCCAGGTCAGCAGAGAGAGGCAGAGAGCTGGGCAGCTGGCAAGAGAAAGGAAGGGCAGGGGTCCGAGATGATCGGGAGAGCAGCTGTTTCTTCTCGGTCTCAGCCTGTGCTTGCCAGCAGTAAGAGCACCTTGAGAAAGCCGGTGCAAAGCCACCCTTGTGATCTGATGCTTCCCAACGTTTGCCCAGAGTTGAAGAGCAGCTCCCTGCAGAGAGCTGTGCAGGGGGGGAGGGTGTCCGGGGGAGAAGAGGAGGCCTGGGGACAGTCAAAGCCA